TTTCGTAGGTATATGACCTCGGCTGTGCCCGGAGTACGGACTCTGCGTCAAGAATGCTTTTTGAATCGGAAATTAACGACCTTGTAGCCCGTCATCCCTGTCGAAGCCTCTGCAGAGCTGTTGTTACTGAGCTTATCGCATGTAGGAGTGATGGTGCTGGGCATCAATCTACGTTAGTGGATACTCGCTACTCCTCGCTCTACTGGGAGTGTTGGGGGGAGGGCTACCCCATCGATACAGTCGTATTGGTATTTGGCAGGTGTTGGCTTGTTGAATATTGATGTAGGCTTGAGGCCAACTGTAAAGCGATGCCTTACCATCCTACCTATTGACACCTCGAAGGCTCTACTCAATTCAAGTCATTCTACTGAGGTACCTCAATGGGTCTTGGAGGATATCATCACCACTACTCTACAAGGTGATAAGGGATATCTAGGGTGATGATGATATGCCTCTCATCATGCCCTACCGCATAGTGAGTAGCATATGTTTACTTCTTACAAACGATGTAGCCTATGGTGGAAGCTCTCCCCTTTTAGTCCCCCTCCCCGGTGGTAATCAGACCTTCAATGATATCATCAGCGTCATCTTGAGTGCAGGAGGTGTTCCGGTTACCTCGGCATTGATGTTGGTTGCAGAAAGGCTTCTACGAACGGTCTATAGGGGTAGTCATGAAGGAGTACGAGGGCTTGTATACTTGCTAGCCAACATCCAACAGAAGCTACTACCGGTAGGAATGGCTGTATCACTTAGGAGGCATAGCATGATCGGCTGAGTCATTCAGGCTGTACCTGTGTACTTATCGTTTATAGTGGAGGTAGTGATTGCCATATCCCTCTGGGAGGTAGGAGACCATATTGCCTACCACACGGCTGAGGTAGTAGAAATACTCCCTAGAGTTGACCTATCTTCTACGGGTATACCACTCTTCATGTTAGATGTTAATCGATTGTTGTCCTGTTATCTACAAGGATGATATACCCGTGCGATACCTCCTCATAGCGGCCGTTATGGCTCTGCAGGACCCCCGACTGTCGTCTAGGTACTATCATTCCTTCTTCATGCTCAACTATCCTCCTTGTAGTCTCGATAAGAAGCTATCACCACTTGATCGAGATGTGGCCTCAGTACAAGAGAGTATCCACTGGAGGTACCAGGCTCTCTATCATTAGCTGCAATGTGGTTGGAGTGGTCTAAGACGATGATGGATGGTGATGCCTCGATTACCAATGAGGACCTGCCTCCGCTGGCTATTGCTACAGTACTAAGTCATCCGATACTGGATCAATCCCCGACTCCCTTATCAGCTCCTTTATCGTCTGTCCACTTGTGCTTCTGAAGTGGATGAGCATGCGGTGGTATGTTTGGTATCGGGCCGAGGATTCTCTCTGCGTATGCTACCACACATAGCGTTATTGATACCTAAGCTGTCATCAAAGGGAACTGAGATGCTGGCTTTCGCTATGGCGGCTCATCTAGGGTCTCATACGGAGATCTCGAAGCATGCTGCAGTGAAGGTAAGCCTCATTGTTTGAATACTCACCGTGTACGCTCTAGCATGCAGCCCCTGGTGTATCGGACCATGACCTCATTCTTTCCCTTGCCTCAAGCAGCTGCTGCAGTGGCTAAGCATTTACTCAGAGTAGGAAGGATATGTGATGACAATCGCTATTTGATAACAGGTTATACCGGACGTCTATATTGATAAGCTACTTGATGGGCTCGTTGAGTGCCATATGGAAGACTCCTACATACAGCTCTTGGAGGCTTATACCACTGAGTGAGGGCTAGCTGCTCCTACTAAGCACAAACTAGTATGGTGTAGGTATCCAGCGAGGGTAGCTAGCATACATCTTAATCGAGTACAAGAATTATTAGCTTATGATAGATCTGACTATGCACGATCTAGAGGATTATGGATGATACATCAACTCTGTGAACTGATGATGCTACCTTGGTTGTGTATGTATTGGCAAGGACAGGTTCTGAGGAGTGCATGGATACTACTAAGACTTGGCAGGTCTTCCGGAAGAAGCATAAGTATCTATTTGACTTATGTGAATGTGGCGAGATGACTGCTCAGGAGGTAGCCACCATCATCAGTTCGTGTAGGTGATGCAGACTTTAACAGGTCCTTCAGCTAGCTGCAGACGTCCCTCAATGGATCGGCATAGAGTTCATTTGGAAGAATGTTTATGAAAGTCCCACATTCAACCGCCATGCCTGGGAGGCTCTAGCTCGGGTGAGTAGTAGTGGTAGTAGTCGGTAGAGTAGTAGAGCATTTGCCGATATATTGCTGCGTAGCCGATACGGCTGTAAATTGCATCTCTCATTGAGGGATGA